CTATCGCACAGCAAACGCCCCCTTCCAATCACCCGTACCGGCCAGGCAGCCGCTTAAAAGCGGAGAAACTCCCACTTCACGGCCTCCCGAAGCCTCGCAACCACCGCCTCCCCTCCTCCTCCTCTTCACCCTGCCTCCAATCTGCCTTCAATCTGCTTGCCGCTGCCAAATGCCGCCACCAGTGCCTAGGTCCCGGGGGATTGGCGCGCTCCATCGCAGGAGCCTCTCCGATCTGAAGGCCGCACCGGGGCCTAGGGCGCCAAACCTCCTCCCAATAAAATACTCAAAAGCTTCTTGTTTTCTCGTCTCTCCAAATTGAAATTCCATAAAGTGAAACCCAAGGACGCATAGATAATTAAACACACAGTACAAAAGTACATAATACATATTTTAAAGTTTTGAGATTTGAGTCTTGTTTTTTTATTAAGAGAGTTTCTGGTCTTAAAATGTCATTAGTAGTAAGATAATAAGTAACTTATTTATATAGCGCATGTGAGAAAGCCAAGAGCGCTCCAAAATTGTTTAGACTTTAGAGAGAAAAACAATCTCATTCACATACTGATATCGGTTTTTTAAATTGGCCGTCTCAAGGATTGTTTTTCAGACTCTGCCACACTGTACAAGGGTCACTGCTGGACTGGACACTGAGGGATCAGAACAGTGGCCCAGAGTAGACACCATCCAACCAGCCGCAGATCGTAAAGGCGCCATAGCTACCTCCGTGTGCCCCTCCCCCCACTACAGAAGTAAGTGGGAGTGAGACCGGGGCCATGAAAGTGGAGGTTTCTGGAGGCAGTGATGGGTGGAGGCCTCAGGTAGAGACCTAGAGGCAGTTGAAAGTGTGTCCACGTGGTTAAATCGACACAGTGTGACCTTTGAGACCTACAGGTGGTTCGAGGAGTCTGGAGACACAACCCCAAAATTCACACCCTACATACACACACACACACACATACATACATTCATACACTCACACATTCATATTTACATATAGATACATGAAAAAGCAGAACATGAGAAAAAAGCGGTAAAAGTTTACTCCAATGTAAACACATTTTTAATTGTCTATCACTTGAATCTTCATTTGAAGTTTGAGACCAGAAATGTTCATTTGAATTCTATATTGTCATGGACTTAATTGGCCTGTCTTGACATTTTTTGTTTTGATTTGTTGATTTTGTACTGTGTGAAGTAATTACATTGATTAGGATTAGAATCAAAGTGACTAACCATAGAGAGTAACTATTGCATAACAAGCTGTGTACAGGAACTGAGACACTGCACCATTGACCAGAAGTGCATTGCAAATGACCTGATGTGCTTCAAGTGAAAAGACTGTATCTGGAGATCCTGATGTCCAACTGGAGAGACCCAAACCCTGGCTTGGACCCTACTGATGTCCAAGATGACATCTCTCGAAATATGACCTGACCTGATGAGGACTGAGACTCACCCTCAGGGGACCCTGAGGACCTGAGGATCTGAGAGAGAAAAACTGGGGAGTGATGTTTATATTATTGAAATCATGCCATTGATGAGTCCTAAATGAGACAGATACTCATGATTCTTTCTTTTGTTTTTGTTTGTCCCTAGCTTCTGGACATCTGATGATCTATTGGACACAGACATTTGCAGAACAAGAACCAGCCAATGAAAAATCGTCTATTGCCGATGCTATTGCTACAACCAGAACCACAACTGTGACCAAATGCAATATACATGTTAAGTATTCAGACATCTGACAGACAAAAACTTTGACTTTTTGGTTTGGGAGACTGAGCAACTGTTAAAATGTTTTAAAATGTTATGGGTATTTTAGCATTTTAGTAGATGTTAAATAGTAGAATTTGACTTCCTTTGTTGTTCATAAACACATTTCCACATAAGAGTTAAAATAGTACCCTACAATGTTATCCTTCTGATAGAGCAGCTAAAATATTAGAATCAGAATTATTTTAGAGCTATTAAAAGTGACAGAAGTCACAAACTAGAAATATGCCTTGGCTCAAGCTGCAACCGAGCTTTGGAGTTAAAAAATAGTGTAGAAAGGGAAATAGATAAATGCATCAACCATAGATGCTTTCAAAAATAGAGAATATTTCTAGCCAGTGCTAATATTTGAGCGGTAAAAGGACCATTTCCTTCAACATAGGTTCACAAACCTTTACTTCAAAAGTAGATAAAGTTAATTACAGTTTTATGTACAGTTTTATTAGATACCTTCCAAATTCACTTGTGTTCACACATGAGTGAATGTTGACAATGCAAAAAGTTCATGAGTGTAGCCTAGATAAATGCCTAGATCAATGAGATAGATTACATTCAAAAGCATTTTGATGTATTTGGGTATAGCCCAAAAACAAAAGAGTAGATATTTAGATATTGAGAAGTTTCCAGCACAGATTAGAGAATCAAACACCATTGTAGAATAACTGACCCCAACCCCAAACCTGCTAAAATAGATTAGCTCTTGTAAGGATAATACTAATTTGATTAAAGATGTACATTCATCCCAAACTGCCTGAGAGGAGGAAGTGACAGCACTTCCTGGTTCAACAAATGTATTTATAAAACTGACCGCCATAATAACGTTCATATTAACCATTTGTCTTACTGTGTTCACAGTTTTATTCCTGAGAAAGTAGAATAGACATGGAGCAAAATCCCACTGACAATAAGCCACTGATAATGAGAGAATAATACCACAGAGAGATTTATTAGATTAAAATGTATGTTTAAGAATATGGCTCAATAGAAGCAAATATGCAAACATATTTGTAAATAGATTAGAAAGTACACAGTCTAAGATTAAAAAGTGATAATAATACAGTGAAATAAGATTGAGTGTAGTGTAAACAATTAACATTAGAATAAAAGTATAGAGTAATAAAAGTGAAATTAGCTTCTAATTGAGACTCAGCTCGTTTTTGTCTGTGTTTTGACTGAATCTGCTGAGTTCTTGTGTGTCCAATAGTGTGTTTGTTTGTTTTTGTTTAAAAACATTTGTTTATTGTTTGTTTATTTACTTTATTTTTGTTTTTGTTTTTTTCCAGGATAGAGGATAAAATCCACTGATATTGATTTGATGATTATGAGTTTAATGCATACATTTTCTTTGTTTTTTAATAATTTTTTAAAGTTTTTTTTTGATTATTTTTTTTCCACTTTATTGATTGATCAAATTGAGTGATCACATGTGATTATGTGATCAAAGGGGAGGGTGTTAGTATTAGATAGCAATATGGCCTACGTGCAAGACTGTACAAGGACTCTGATTATTTTGACTATGATGTGACTGTCTCTGTGTGACACGTACATCTTTCGATGTGTGACGTGACAATGACTATATAAACTGTGTACTGACTCCATTCTGTCTGAGAGAAGGAAACAATGGAAACCAGTGGAACTTGAGAGAAACTTAAATAAGTTTCCAGAGTTTGGCGCACCACGATCCGTCTCTGTCTGCTTCATCCCTGACAAGATTAAAGCTGCATTACCTCACTTTATTTTTGTATACATTACGAAAATTAAATCCATATCCATGCAATACATTGGCATATACATCCTTTTGAAGAATAAATAGCGAAGATTTGTGCTGGCGTGTCATTTTATTTTAGATTGAGTTTTTGTGCAACAAGGAAGATAATTTGTTTCGGGACCAGATTGTGACCAATCACAGCGGCCCACTGGCCCCCACTTTCTTGAGAAAAGCCCCAGGTCTCTCGTTAGCACAAACAGCTGAGGTAAACAAGCGGCGGAAGCTAACCTAAAACTTCCCGTGTCTTCGTTACCGGTTACTGCTTACACAGCGAAACAGCCATCCAAAAGAAAGTCTCGTTCCTCCGCGCTTCCCGGTTCTATCATTCTATGGTCACGCCATCCACGTTCAAATGTGCAATCCATATTGTGAGACGTGAGCGCCGTAAACAATTAGCATGTGAGCACAGGCTGAAAGGAAGGGGGTAGTGGGGGGCGATAGCTCCGTGGGTGTGGGGGAGCAGAAAGAGCGAGGCCAACACTCACATTCGAAAATTTCACAAAGTGAGTTAGTGCAGCTTTAAAAGGCGTATGAAATTGTTTGAACTCATTCCTTCTTGAATGTAGTTAGTGATGTAGCATAAGGACCCAGACTGGCGTCGAGGCCTGCAAAGATGCCATCCCTTTCGAGCCACAGAGGTTACACCTTATCCAGCCACTGAGACAAAGGGTAACCATCTTCCTATCAAGCCAAGGCCACCCCCTACGGTGACAGATACACATCCCAGGCTCCACATCTTTGTAACTTGGTCAAAAACAATGAATTGTCTGTTTTGTCTGCCTCCACCCTGGAGGTAGGCGTCAGGACCTGCTGGTTCAACACCTAACGAAGTGACTTTGTCTGGGCCAGAACAAAAAGAAAAACCATCTGCCTTACTCTTCAAAGACACACACTCCTACTCTACCTGGATCAGAGACAATGGACACAGTCACACGGAGACAGGCAGTCACTCAAAAGGACCTTACGCATTGTCTTCAGATCACCAAAAGGACAGTGCCCCACCAGACCCATCCCGTTATCACACCTCAGCACAACGCAATCAACTCTGACTCTGCTCAGTCGACTGGCCTCTGACCAGCATTGGACACACAATAAACATGAAAATAACAATCGTGTGTATATGAGTTAGACCTTAACATGATGGTTCTGATTAATCTGTTACTGTATTTGTGTCATATTAATGTTCGTACTATGATGTAACCATGACTGTACTATTTTATCACTCAGCCAATGGGAAATGTGTTTATGCAGATGAGATCCACGCATACCACGCCTTGTTTCTCGGCTGACCAACTGGCAGCTGGAGCTGTGTTTATGCAAACTGGACCAAAGCAGACCACACCCCCCATAGCGGAGTTGTTAAAACTAAGGGAAGCTGGCTTCACTGGGATTCTTACTCTCTTCTCTTGTCCTTTTTCCACCTTGGAACTTCTCCTTTTCCAGGCAAGATCAGCGGGTTCGCATGACCTTCCCCAAACCTCCCTTTTTGTCCACGCACGGGCCTCCACACAGGAGCGTGTGAGTTACGACCGAGAACGCGCAGTGGACTGCCTGAGACCTCTGGGAGTGCGCGGCTTGTACGAACCGCCGCCAAAGGGACTACAAAGAACGTGGACGCGAACCACGTGGACCCACGCTACACCAACAGGACTTTTGTGCCTCTCCCACAGACTTTGAAACTTTGGAGTCTACGCTCAAGCTGCCCACGGACTTAGCAGCCAACCTACACTGGCGTCCATCTTTTGGACTCATCCAAGATACACAAAGGAACACGTGCGTTTTCAAAACAGAGACCCTCTCTAACCACAACACTGAGGACGACGCGCGCAAAGTAAGATCTCTCCAAGCTTTTGTTTGTGGATAAATGTCCGTGTGATTCATCTGACCTTTGGTTCTGGATTGTGACTCCAAAATCTCAATGATCCTATAAGATATTTGCATTGTCCTGCATCTAAAACTTGCCTTTTAGTCAGTAAACCACAGTTTACAGTTTGATCTTATGCTACGTTATCATTATTTCACAGGTTATACGGACTCCCTGTTGCAGTAATTTCTGTCAGAATTCCCCTGCCCCAGAAGCTGCAGACAGGCCGCAACACAGCCCGTTTCGTTCTGCAGGCCCTTTTAGTTCAACAAGAGACAAAAACCAATCTTCTAAGTTATCTTTTTTCACTGCTCTTACGATTCTGCGTCTGCACCCATTTTGTCTCCCTCTTCCCTGAAGTTATATTACTATCATTATATTAGGTATTACCAATAATTATCATCTGGTTGCCAACTACCCTTGCTTATCAAAGTACTGTACTTATCATCACATAATTCCCCTTTGTTTAGCAGCACACTTTCCAGTTTCCACTTGTAATACATTACAATTACTGTCATTCCTTGTCCTACAAGACCCTCTATATCTCCACTAATAATAAGACCATTCATATCCAACTCACCTCATCAAACCACAGCTGACCCTCATCCTTCCACCACCCTCGTCTGTGTTTTTAATGCACCATAACTCAAACATAGGGAAAAGCAGGAGAAACAATAATAATAACAATAATACATCAAAACAAAAACAAACAAATAAGGCTAGGGTTACAGGAGACGTGGGAGATGCCCTTGGACAGTACCCCTGCATCAAGCTGACAACATCCCACAGTCTCCTTTTTAATGCACCACTTTAGACACATCCCAAACTGAGACAAAAATAAGAAGGGAAAATAGGGGCAATGAGGGTGATGGGTGGATGCACAAATTTGGGAAAATAGGAACACACACACACACACACACACACACACACACACACACACACACACACACACACACACACAGTCCTGTCTGTCTTGTTATATCTGTTTGTACGTCTGCACTTGTTTTGTAATGTCTATTTTTTCACAATAAAAAAATAAAAAATAAAAGAAGAGGCTCTTGCTGGAAACCCCACTAAGGGAGTGAAAGGGCCTAGTATTTTGTCTTGTCTACCTGATTTTAATATCATTGATGGCTGTGTTCCAGATTATATGCACAGTGTGCTGCTGGGTGTAGCAAGAAGCATCACCACACTGTGGTTTCATTCAGAAAACAGTCAATCGCCATGGTATATCGGACGCTCAACAGAACAGATTGATAACATTTTAACTTCTATTAAACTCCCCTGTAATGTTTCCCGTGTCCCCCGCTCAGTGAAAGAGAGAAAGTTCTGGAAGGCACATGAGTGGAACATGTGGTTGTTTTATTACTCCATACCAATACTGAAAGGGGTCTTACCTGAAAAATATCTGAAGCACTGGTTTAAGTTGGTCAAGGGGGTTTCTCTTCTACTCGGTGAGAATATATCACCATTGCACATATCAGAATCTGAGGGGTTGCTAACAGAGTTTGTTCAGGAAATGGAGACCATTTATGGGATCAATAATGTCACTTTCAATGTACATTTGTGCCTTCATCTGCCCAATACTGTGAGGAACTGGGGTCCCCTCTGGGCACAGTCCGCATTTGTATTTGAGTCATACAACGGGATAATTTTAGGTATGATAAAGAGCAGCCAGGGAGTTTCTCTGCAAATAATGAAAACAGTTTGGCTACAGGTTGCATTTCCAACATTTTCAAAAAAAAAACATGGTGGCAGCTTCCGATGACTACTTGGCTCTCTTACAGTCTTTTTCAGTTGAGAAAAAAATCGTGCAGGAAGTAAGTCGCTCTCATGGTGTTACATCTCTGGGTAGGCCTAAAATGTGCATGATCAGAAATGATGATTTTCTGGCCTTAAACAGCATCAGCAACCTAGGAAATAGAGTCACTGTGAAGTATTTTTCCAGAGTAGTGGTTAATGATGAAATAATTCATTCACAAAACTACTTGCGTACTTTTCGGAGAAACTCGTACACTGTCAGTCTTTCTGATCGAGAGGAAAGTATTTTCTCTGTGAAGACATTCATTGTCTGTGATCTGGGGCCGGGGGAGACATGTTATGCAGTGGGGAAGTACTACCAAAAAGTGAAACAGGACATCTGCGGTCAATTTAAGAATCCTTGTTATTTCATCCCTGTAGGGAAAAGTCTGGGGCCTTTAGTTGCTATACATGCATCTCAGATAAAGGAAAAGTGTCTGTTCATTAAAACTGTGAACAGAAATGTTGACATTGTCTTCAAATTCATTAACCACAGTGAAATACTCAGATAGATGTGGAATGATGACGATAAATGATGATGATGACTTGAATGTATGTTCTGTGTACTTTTTGTTTTGTTTTTTTCTACATTTAGACTGTAATGACCTTTCAGCCATATTAATCTAGAAACTGCATTAAGACTATACTGAAAACATTGCATTTTGCATTGCATTTGGTGGATGTAACGGTGAATGTGTGGATATGTATGAGCTGTAGTGAATCTGGAAATGACTTGAAATTGGAAAAAAGTTTTAATTGACAAAATAAAAAAATGACGAACCATTTTGTTATACATTTCCTTCTTTTCCACTATCTTCATACAAGAAAGAATTGACCTTGTAAATGTTTCAGGAAAATGTGTAGAGATCATAGCCCATCTCCTTATTTGACATATTGAATTCCATAACATGCCAATTACATGTGCTAACATTTTCACATGTTCGCACATAAGTTCTTGCATAATTTTTGTTTTAGTTCTTAGTTATTGCCTTGATAAAACAAAATGAGCTATAGGCATCATGTATGACAGTTGCCAAAGTGAAATATGAGCTACAAAGTGACCAGATCCTGCCATGAGCTATGTAGGAGACGTGTATATATAGGGCTTATATGTGGATATAAAGAAGCAATACAGGAGACCTATAGGCAACATTGAGGTGCATATATGTGGCATATACGCAGCATATATATTATCATGTGTGCATATATGCTGTATATATGCAGCATATATGCACCTCAATGTTGCCTATATGCTCCATATATACACATATATGCAGCATATATATGATAATATATGTGCATATATCCTGCATATAGGATTTATATATGTGCATATATCCTCATATAGGTTCTTTCCATGTGGGAAGCTACACCTCGTTTATTGCATAGCATAAGACTAATTTCCGGTCCCGGTGCGCTACTTCCGGGGCTGCACTGCTGCTGTCTTTACACTGATCCTGCACCACGTCCCATCATTAACTGATTGGTCGTGGTTCTGACATTAATACTACTCTCCTATACTTTCAAGCTATTCTGGTTTACACCGATTCTAAACCGCATTCTACTGCTAAACTCTATGTTTTGTTGTTTAGACTAATGCTAGATTCTTGCTCCCCTCTGCTACATGCTGTACTGCATTACGTGTTGTTTAGACTAACGCTAACTCCCTGCCTCTCCTCACTACCTGCTATTGCTAAACCGCATTACTTGTTGTTTAGACTAATGCTAACGTCCTGTTCCCCTCTGCTACAGGCTTTAGCTAGACTGCATTACGTTGTTGTTTAGACTAACGCTAACTCCCTGTTTGTCCTCACCAAATGCTATTGCTAAACCCGCACTACTTTTGTGGTTTAGACTAATGCTAACTTCCTGTTTCTCGTTACTGCAGGCTTTAGCAGCTGCATTAAATTGTTGTTTAGGCCGGTACTAACTTTCCTGCTATTGCTGCCGCTAACGCTAACTGCTAATTGCTACCGCTACTGCTAGTGCTACTACCAACACTGCCGCTAGGCCAGTGCCGCGCGCGTAACCACAACCCTGTGCGCTCCAACGCTGCTAACCCCAACCCTCTCCGCTGATACGCAGGTGAAGAAACACTAAGGCCTGACCCCAGTCCTAAACCACCTTCTCGCATACACCACTGCAAGAAGACGACGCAGTGGTCACGGCTTTAACATACATCAAGGTTTGCACCACCACACACACAACAGCTCAATAACCCATTCTAAACGCTACTTCCCTCCTTTCCTTCTCCCACCGTGTCATGCACACACGCTCCAAGTCACACTCGCATACACTCACTCTTGCGAATATGGACAACGGTGGCGTCGCCTCGCCACGCCCGAGCGAACACGACGACGGGATGGAAGAACAGGATGTGGTGGATAACTTTCTGCGTGACTTTACCGAAAAGTTATCCCCGGGAGCCTATGACACGCTTGAACATGGCTCGCCCTCTGTCTTACAGGATGCCACCTCCATGTTGGCATCCGAGGTTATTACAAAGAAACTCGAAGGTAAGACCCTGACCCAGTGGCTGGGACAACTAGCCGCAGTCTCCAGGATAACCTTACGCGACTCCAAAGCTAAGACAGAAAAGCTTCAAGACAAGGTAGGTGAACTACAACGGCAACTAGCGGAAGCTAGAAAATCCGTCGAAAACCTTAAAGAACAACACCAACAGGTAAGTAGAGACCACCAGCAGGGACTGGACGTGACTCCAGGCACGACCATGGATCTTGATCGCGCATCGAGAATCAGGGCCGCTATGACGGCCGGAACCAGTCGGGACAATGCCTCCCGGTCACAATCCCCTCCCTCCGACTACGACGGCCCATCGGCCGATAGGGAACGCAGGAGCGTGGCCGAACTGGTAAGTATCCTCACGGAAAAAGACCAAAATCAAGGACAAAGGGATAATAAAGAACCCAACGATGCGAATCGAAACAGGCCCCAACGGTCCGTCGACAACGGACCCAACCATGTTGCGCGCGACCCCGACCAAACGACGGGACCGCACCCAACCACAGCCGACCCACAGCACACCATCAGACGCATCGACCACTTCGACCCCAGGCTCGACCCACCTACGAGCCAGGCGATGTACCACATGACAGACCACTCGCGGGACCCCGGGACCTCTCCGTCTGTGAGAGACAACCCCCTTCCAGACCCGGCCCATCGAGACATAAAATACGAGACGCATGGCTACCAAACCCATAGACCCGGACTGACCGCGGACCACGGCGAACAACGGCCAGCAACCCGCCAATGGGACGGTGGGGACCACCACCACCATGGAAGGGACCCCCACGGCACCCCTCCGGGCACACACATGGACATGCTAAACAGACAACATGACTACCCAACCCATGACTCTGGACCACCTGACGTCCATACGAGACATGGTTCAGACTACCGCCATTGGGACGAGAGGGCCCAACCTGAACATGGCTGGCGACCCCCCTGGCGCACATCAGAACATGCTACCCGGACCACACGACGTACGGTACTCTAAGTCTGGGCCGTCCGCATATGCTGCGACACAATGGCCAGCGACCCGGCATGGGAACGCCGGGGACCTCCCCAATCATGGTAGACAACCCCACGGCGCTCCCCCTGGCGCACACCAAGACTTGGCCCTAGGTCAACGGTACTACCCGGACTATAGAGGACGCGACGCCCATTACACGCCCCCTATCGGTCGAGACCCGCTCGGACCATCCGACCGTGACTTTGACCGCATAGCCAGACACATAAACCGCTTTGACCCCCGGCCCGGCATGCCTACGAACGCCCGATCATACCTCCGCGACGTTGACTTCCACACTGACCGCATACCAAACGCATCTCAAAGTGACAAAATATTCTTGATTAGACTCACGTCCAATAGAGAAGTGAACGACTTCATCGAAAGGCAACCAAAGGCCATAAAACATGACTACAATGAGCTCTGCAAAGCCATCCTGGCAGAATACTCAGACTACGGTGCCTCCGGGACCCTCACGGCAGCTATGGCAGTCAAACAAACTCACAACGAGCTTGCGGACTGCTACTACCACAGGTTGAGACAGGCCTACTTCGGCAACCAAAACTACGAAGGGATGGAGGAAGATAAGAATTTCAAGGCCCTGTACATCCAAAACCTCCACCCCAACCTTAGCCAACTACTAGGTGTGTACGCCTGCCCCCTTACACAGGACATACAACAACTGAAGACCCTAGTGGCAAGGGCACAGAGCAAACACTTACTCAAACCACAAGTGAAGCCACAAAACCAGGCTACAGTGTACAGTGTGGACAAACACATGGAACTTGAAGGCGCGCCAACCACCCAAAAACAAAAATGGGGGACAGATCGAAGGCCCCAAAGCAATAACCAGCGACGCACAGACCCGAAGAACAGACAATGGCACGACCAAAAGTCCACGCCATTCGACGAGAACCGCAACGCCCAGCCGGACGGGAAAGACCGCGCACCGCAGCTATAAATAAAAGCAACCTTTCCAGGGAAGAACAATCCTTCCTCCGCGCACTCCTGCGCAAAGCCAGAGAAAAAAGGCCAGACACTGCTGACGTGTTCGCAGTGTCCGTGTCGGATGAGACCAATGACGACTATCCCTACCATTTGAACGACGACCTTAGCGTGCAACAGTCGGAGGACACCTACTTCGACCCACACGTCCTTCGGGACCTCCAGGACAAGGTAAACAAAGAACCCCGAGACTCACACGCACAGAATGAGAACGCCCACTACGACCAGAGGGACGTCATGGTGATACGGGTAAACTCCATCACAGACTCACGAAGGGAGTGCCCCTCGACGATCAACTGCGACCCACCGTTCCACCAGTTCATTGGCGATCTACAACAAAAAGGTACCTACGGGAAACTCTACTTGCCCGTGACGCTTGAGGACCAATGGGAACACAAAGCGCTCGTGGACACAGCTGCCGATATCAGCCTGATTGCCGACTATCTCTTTGGTAAGTTACAGTCCCTGGCCAGAGAAGCCCACAGAGACCTAAAAACACAGCCATGCGACTTGGAAATTCGACCCTATTCCCAGGTAAACACGACCATACGTAAAATGGCGCTGATGCGACTGACCGTGGGCCCCATGACACTAGTCCACCCGGTCTACATCTCCCCATTCAACGCGCATCCACTCCTACTGGGCCAGGACCTCCTAAATCGGTTAAAACCCATAATAGACTTCCAACGTCTAAAGATCTGGGCACAAGTCCGGGAGCCCTTACCCATCCCACGCCCACTGGGCGAGAACCACTGCTACTTCATAGAAGCGCCGCCTGCAGACGGCCTACAGCCCGCCGCGGCACAAACCAACACCGGTCAAGGAACGCCCACAATCTGCGCGATCGGTCGGGCAAACGCCACTAAAATGGACCCGACGCCGCGCCCACGCGCAAAACCCCCGACTTTGACGGGTTGGACCTAGCCTCCCTCCGATACACGGACCCCACACTAAAACGCCCCAGCGACGTCACGACCAACACGACGCTCAAAATCTTCGGGCGTGATAAAGACAAACGGCCAATACGCCATGGGCTGTTAGTTTCTGCTTCCGATGCACTCACTTCGTCGGTACTCGTGGTGCCTCGAAGCATGAGGGGGGTGATGTTTGCTCACGCCCATGACGCACCTACCGCGGAACACAGAGGTATAAACAACACACGCCAGGCACTACAACAGGTAGAAAGGACGGACCGGACGGTGACTGAAATACTAAGGTACGTATCCCCAAACCAGAGTGACTGGAACGTGAAACTCCCCCGGCTCCTGAGGGCAAACCAATACAGGACTGACCCGCAGGACCACCTGGAACAGACGTTCACATTTACACAGAAGAAACTGGGAGACAGCGCCGAAGGACGCAAAGCCTACTACGACTAAAAGGCGTCTCGCAACGAGCTCCAGGTCAAAAACCATGGTATTACACCTTTACACATTCCCCAGGACAAGTGGGGACCGGCCCCACCAGACTACGCCGGAAACTGCTACCCCGCTGGTCAGGACCATACAGGGTGGGAAACAAACTCTCAACCGCAGTGCACCAGATTGAGGTCACAAAAGGTAGGAGAGAACCCACCCTCAAATGGGTTCGTCACAACCAAACCAAACCACACAAACAAAGCCCCATGGGACAAGTAGGGCACATTACAAACCCCAGTTAGGAACACACCACGTGACCTCAAACACTATTAGTCCAGCACCCACTACCCTCTTCTCGGCTGCACTAATCGAATTTCTCTCTCTCTCTGCCTAACCCCTAACAGTTGTTTCACACTTTGCAGAACATGTGGCCCACTCTCCTCCTTGTGCTGACCTGCATACTGTGCCTCGGCACCCCAGAAATTATTGAGACCGGACCAGCCTCCGGGATCGTTTTAAAGGAACAACCCGGACTCCTCATCATGGATGTCCGACTCCACACACAGCGAATCTTCGTCAGACTCAACCCTAGTGAGGTCTGCCGCAAGAACCTGCCCTCTAAAGTCACACTCAAAGACTGGGCGGGCGCCCGCTGGACCCAGACGGTCGTGGAGCACGCAGAGGCAGACATACAGCACATGCTGACACAGCTAGAGAAGTTCACGATCACTAGGACAGAGCTCAGTGCCCCTCGCCCCAGACCCAAACGATTTATTGGGGCTCTCCTCGGCGCAGCATCCGCCCTGGGCACCGTCTTTAGCCTGGGGATGTCCACGCTAAACGCCATTAGCCTATCCTCCCTCAGACGCCACCAGCTAGAAATGGCCTCTGAACTTGAGGACGTCAAAACCAGACTTGACCAGCAACAGAACGACGTGGTGACCTTGGGAAAATCCCTGAAAGGAACCATGCTAGTACTTAACACACATGAGGTCGCGATTAAACGCACCTCCGCTGCGGTTAACCAACTCTTAGACGTTCTCCAAGTAGACTACGCCCACACTCAGCTGACCACCCAACTGATGGATGACATGCTACGTCACCTCAGCTCCTCGGTCGAAAACCTAGCCATGGGCCGTATCCCGCCATACCTCGTGCCGCTGTCGCTAGTTGAGGACATCCTAGCCGTAGCCACACGGGACGCCGTAACCTCCATGCAAGTCCACTTGGCGTACACGCTAGGCGCGGCAGTCCCCATCTACGTCAATCCACTGGACCGCGAGGTAGCCTTCCTAGTCACCCTACCGATAGTTCCCGGCGATAAAATCTACCGACTAAAAGGGATCACTAACCTAGGGACCTGGAAGGACAATGTCCACGTCAGAGTCCAGACGCCAGACATAGTAGCCTACCACGACAGCAACCCAAACTTTACCTAACGCCGAATCTAAGGATGTGTACCCTCACCAAGGACATGGATTACCTCTGTCCCAGTAAACCTTTCGTCAGGGACAGCACAGATGGCATCTGCGGCCTGAGGCCCATGACTCCAGGGAGTCGATGCCCCGCAATGGTCACCTCTCGAAACCAGGTGACCGAAACCAGAGCAGAGATCGTAGGGGCAAGATGGCTAGTGAACACTCCCCTTAGAATGGCGACCCTGACCTATGACAAACATGACACCTCGTCCCGAGTAAACCTCCCGGATGAAACCTTCTGGGTCGACGTCCCAGCCGACGCTATCCTACACGTAGGCGACCTAGCATTATACCACTTGTATCCAAACCAGTACGAGGCAGAGGTCGAGGTACCAGAGTTCTTTGAGAAGAAGGACTTGGAACTTCAACCCTCCACCCTCGTCCAAGCCACCTACGAGGGGGCAAAAACCGTTGACGTTACGGCCGTAGACAACCTCCTTCAAGAGATTGCCAAGCGGCCGACCATCAACCACCAACCAGTAACCTACTCATGGGCAGCCCCCGATACGGTCTTGGCCACCGCAGTAGGACTCGGGTATGGCCTGGCCTTCGTCTTAAATAGACGGGTCAGACGACTCCGCGATAACTTTAAAAGGTGCACGGAGGCAATGACGAGACAGATCCGTAAACGACCAAACCGGGGCGACAGCGCCGTCGAGCGTGGCAATTTAAGCCGGCGCCCCCAAGTCAACGACTCAGAGTACGAGGACCTTCAGAGACGGTCACTCTTGCTATCACAGAAGGTGAACCAAGGGCCTAAAACCCACCAGGAGTCACCAGCTCAGACCCAAACATATCTACCTCGATACCTAATCAGTCTCCCAGACAATCATACCTGTCATCCCCGTTTATATATAGGAAATTCCCCTCGTAATCAAAAGTCCCACTTGTTACGTCGTATATTTTTGTAATCCGTATACTCCCCTTTTAGAACGAGCAAGATGGGAACCCCTCGCCAGCGAGTGCCTTAATGACTCGCCCAACCGCTGCCAAGACAGCCACCCTTTTTTGATTTTTGAAGTTTTATATTTTTTGTATTCTAGTCCCCTAAAAATAGAAACTCCTGCTAATCTCTTGGCTTGGAACTTTGAGTCTTCCAGACCAAGAGACCCAGGAGTCAGACGCACCGGCCCAAACCCTAGAGTTCACGGCCCGTAGCTCACTCCCTGAACCTCTGATCCCGGTTAGAACTAGCCTGCAGGGCCAGGACTCACCTTAGAGAAAACGCGGCCTCAACAAACCAAGCCAGAGGCCCGAGACCCAACCGCCACGAGCCTGGCCCCAGTTAGGCGCTTGCGAATTACTGAGTCACATTAAGGCGAGAATGTTGTAACATGTCACCACAAATCACACACTAACACCCGAACAGGCGAGACGACCGACTGAGGACACCCGCCCGGCATATCCGACATGACATGCACCTTGTCGGAAGGTGCATCTCTGCCGTGCGGGGGGTATGTAAGGTGAATTAAAGGACAGACAAGGGACGACGCACCTATTCGTAGAACTTAAGTTACATTAGGTAACTATTAATTCTAGTCCTGCACAGTCATTGTCGACATCGCTCACACAAGCTCATTTTCCAAGAAGATTTGCACTTTACCCACTATGTCAGACAATATAGACGTAGATAACTTTTACTGGAAGTGATTTGAAATGGATTTCTCCAAATAGAATGCCCAAACTTTACCTATAGAGTAGAAACTTTGCGACTGAAGTATCAGTGAGAGCAGCAGCAGCAGTCCCTGCGCGCTCTGCCAGTGTTCTGTCGAGTTCTCCTGCTCCGTCTAGTTGTCCCGCATACGTCATTTTACAGACGTATGGGGCATGGATCTATTATAATAACTGGATAGGGTATTACAGCTCGGAGCTGAAGGACCCATGTGCTCTGGGGATTCTCGCGGTACTGCAGACTATATCAGACTACATTCACGTGGGCTACCCAGAAATTTTCCCCATAGAACTCAATGTAGACTAAAACAGCGCAACCTCAGCCGTCAGAGAACCTACAGCGTTCATAAAAGTCGGATTTTGTGGGTAATTTAGTGTCCCTTTTAATCCTGAACTTTTTTTTCTTCTTAAATCCTTCAGTTTTCTTTAAATCCACACTTTAGTGCCACAAACTCTTCTTGTCTGGCTCCCGCTCTAACTCCTGCTCTAATCAGCAGCGCTGATTGGTCAGAGCACGGCCAAGCCCCTCTGTGCACGTGCATGAGAGCCACACACACGTATTTGGCACAACGCATCATGGGAGAATATCCACTGCGCTGAACCGGGAGGACCAGACGATGCCCAAATATAGCGAGTGATGTGACGAGTTTCGCTAATATGTCAGCGACCGTGCCGGCACATGCGCCACTGAGCACAAACCATTCATTTGAATACGGCACCATCTTGGATTGCCGGGGCTTGGTATAGCCTGGGCTAACTCGGCAGCCGCTAGCTTACAGCTACCTTTTGGGTTGATAACATGAATCTAACAGGTTAATATGGGATATCTAATGAACGGATCGTAATCTTTCCATGCCAAATAACAAGATTATACATATGTAAGGTGAATTAAAGGACAGCCAGTCGAACATTGACCAGCAGACCAGGATACGTAAACATGCCCTCCTGAGCATGACCCATCTTGAGCCTCATCTAAGGGACGACCAGGTCAACCAGAGGACACCATCGGTCACCGAGACCATAAGTGTCCACCAGGGCAATAAACTGAGCTCAGAATAAACATCTTTGTACCTTCCTGCCCGCTAGAGATGAAAGATCACGTCTCTGCTCTCACTCCCGGGACATTCCTATTCCTGGATAATCAACGACTCACCCACGGCGTTATGGCGCCCCCCAGTGGATGCCGGACGCTATCACACCCGAGGCGGACACTCGAAACGGACATTCCCCGATGACATTATGTGATAACCGTTACGGACACTACTCGTATGTGGCGTTGTCTGTGATGTGAATGCACTGTGTATCGGTATATGATTATGAACGATATGAATGTCTGTATTAATCCTGTGTTTTGCCAGTATAACATGTCTGTTGTGAAGGATGTCCAGGGAGACGCGCAAGGACGACGTCACGGACGCGCCCCCTTTGGAGCACAACAAAACTAAAGCACGGGCCGACAGACAGTCTCTTGGCTCCCCCTGTAATCACTGTAACAGCCTTCCCTCCTGCGTTCCGCGTGTACGTGTCTCCTACTACGACCGCGCCTGTACGCACTGAGGCCTCTCCACTCCTTGAGCACAGCCCTCTTTTCTGACTCTGGACCTCACAAACTATTCCACCATCAGCCTCTTTTCTGGCTCTGGACCCTACGCACGCAACGCATTCCGGACTGCGTTGTATATGCGTGGATCAAAGTTGAACTGGATCCGCTGGCTTCGTGTCTCCCTCCTGCCCGGACAAAGAACACGTGGATGCCCATCCTCCTCCAAACCTTTTCTTCATCCCTCTACGCTGCTCAAAGTAAGACTGTTCCTTGTTGGAAGTGTGATTTGAATGATATGTATACAACCTCTGCTTAATGTGACCAGAAAACCCTTTTCGTTATATTTTCTATTTTCATTTTTGTAGTCAATAAACCCACGTTAATTTTAACTCATTCATTTCAGCGTCGTGTTTATAAGTCTTGGATATCCCTGGCCGATTTACGTACTCAAAACCATCAGATTTATTATACTGGTATCGAGGCAAATTAGTTGGATCTGTGCAGAAGCTTTCAAACTCTGCTGGTGCCCAAAATAAAAGCAGATCCCCAACTCGTGTAGTACGGCGAGACTCTGATCTGGAGACTAGCCGCACTACACTACATTTTCATTTAACCCACGTATATGATTATCCTTCAACATTATACCATATATATATAATTACCCTACACATACTAAATTCATTCGATGAGTTTGTCTTTTAAACATTTCAGGTGATGTGGTAAAGTAACTTTTACTCAAAAAGCATTTGTAGCAAATCATTATTGTCGTATATTCCTGTTTTTTTTATTCAGGCTTTGCATGTGATTTATGTACACCATCACATATTCCATATTTATAGCAACGAAGAACAGTATTGTTGTTAGTGGCGTTATGCAGCATTTGTTCCCTTTTTTCACTCGCAATTTAGATGTAAGCTATAATTGTGTCAGTAAAACATTTAGCACAAAACAATTGTGTTAGTAAAACTGACACAATCAATGAATTGTCGATTGTCTGTTGTGAGAGATTGAGGAGAAGAATTGTTTTGTATTTCCGTTGAATATTTTCTCAGGAATGTTACAGTCGATGTTCGTGAGTTAAGCGTGAGCTGCGCCAAACAGCAGCTTGTTTTGGCAACTTGATAATAAAAACATCTTAAAAAGCACTGAGCATTTCTTACATGTTATAGTGGTCTAATCATTACAAATACAATCACACTTTTGTTGCCAGAATCCTTCTGCATGTGACACATGTAGTTCCTCTGCCCACTGATGCAATTTTTATTTTTAAGATCAACGTAGTTGGACCCCAATCTTGTGTCTCAGACTCTCTTTACCTGTGTGTAGACCCCAGTGTGGCCCGGCTCCCCACACTTGCCACTCAAACTCTCTTACACTGTTACCTCTTTGTAGACCTCAGTGTGGTCAGGTTCCTCACACTTGTCACTCAGACTCTCTTTACCTGTGTGTAGACCCCAGGGTGGCCTGGCTCTCCACACTTGTCGCCCCAGCTCACAATGCCCCAGAGATACGACACTCCAAGCTCATCCTCGCACAACAGAGGCCCCCCGCTGTCCCCCTGACACGAGTCCACAGAGCCATCCAGATCTCCTGACAACCAACCAAATAACAAAGAAAGGCGTTAAATCCTTATTCGATGATCTTGAGAGTATTTACTGTGGCATTACATGTTTTATAATGTGAAAAAACAAGAGTAATGTTCATGTACCATATATTTTTGAGGGTCTCCCCCCCTGGACTGCCACATGAACGTGGTGGGGGAGTTTGAGTACTCGGATGATCCTGGAAGCTATGTTGTCTAGGGCTTCATGGCAAACAGGTCTTGGGTGACGAGGCAGACGAAGCACAGCCCAAAACCCACCATGGATAGCACCATGATGAAACCTGTGACGTCTCCCGGCATGGAGCTGGAGTTCTCCCCGGTGACACTTGAAGAGGGGTGATTAGGAAGAATGGCCCCTCTGATCTGAACCTGAGCGGTGCTCAGTTGTTGGACTTCTGTGCCAGTCACAGTTTGCCCATCACGAACACCTTCTTCGAGCACAAGGGTGTCTTACCAGTGCACATGGCACCAGGACACCCTAGGCCGGAGGTCGATCAACGTTGTTGTCGCATCATCTGACCTTCATCTGCGTGTCTCGGACACTGGTGAAGAGAGGGACGGAGCGGTCAACTAATCAGGCTAGCAGGGGAAGAAGCCAGTTAGACCTGGCAGACTCAAGTATGTAATGAGGGTCTTCTGGGAATGTCTTGCTGAGCCCCTGTTAGATATACTTTCAGCTCACTCCTCCGGGAGAGCTTCTCCCAGGTCCCGGAGGAGGGAGGGGACATTGAGACTGAGTGGACCATGTTCTCCACCTATGCCGATGCGGCAGCTTGTAGCTGTGGTGGAAAGGTCTCCGGTGCTGGTCCCTGCGGCAATCCCCCGAACACGGTATTGGACACCAGTAGTAAGGGATGCCATCAGGCTGAAAAAGGAGTTCTTTCGAGCCATGATGATTTGTGGGACTCCTGAGGCAGCTGTCCAGTACTGGCAGGCCAAGCGTGCCGCTGCACAGGCTGTTGCAAAGGCTAACCTTGGACTGGGAGGAGTTCAGAGAGTTCATGGAGCATGACTATTGGTCATGCTTGGCCTCGAAGAGATCCTGGCAAACCAGTGTGGTTTTCGACCAGCTGGTCCAGAACACTGGACCAGCTCTATATGCTCCATCGGATACTCAAGGGTTTCTAGGAATTCGCACAACCTGTCATGTGCTTTGTGGTTTTGGAGAATGTTGTAGATTTTAAATACAGCACATGCTGATACACTTCGATTTTCCGTCATCCATGTATCAACATCTATGAAAATAGGAATTTCTAGATTTAATCATGAAATGTCTCCATAAAGGGGCGACAGTATAGCTCAGTTGGTAGAGCGTTGGTCTTTGGACCCAATGGTCGTGGGTTCGATCCCACCAGGACCCATGTCACCTGCTCCCACTGATGACTGCTGTCGTTGTGTCCCTGGGCAAGACACTTAACCCCACAATGCCTGAAGCCCCCGCTGGAAGATCAAGGCCGTATGATGAAGGACCCACCACCTGCAGGAGGATCAGCGAGGGACTGGTGCAATGTGAATTGGGTGGCAACTCTGATTGCCACTCCCCTGACCCAGAAATGAAATAATAAAGGCATGATAATGAATGAATGAATGAATGTCTCCATAAAATGTTTTTATACTAATGATTAAACATCAAGTGTTTTTATAAAGTGTTCTTATATTAATCATTAGGTGTTTGCATAAAAGGCCTTTCGTATTATGTGTTAGCCTGAGTCTAGTGAGTTCAGGGACAAGGTTGGTTTCTGTGCCATATTATCCATTTAGGAACAAAGTTTGCCACTCTTATCATCAGGACAAGGGATGAGACCCAAAACCAGACCAGAGCAGCCTCGGGAGACTGATAAGGAGCCAGATGACATCTTCAGAGTAGGCGTCCTCTTCTTCTACACATTTTCATAAAACTGTTTTGTACGACATTGTGAGTGAGTCTGAACCAGGGACAGAGAGAGGTTTGACAGAGCGCCTGCTGACCTCCATAGTTTAAGCCCGTAAGGGACAGTTAATTTTGGCTCAGCTCATAAGGTTAGATAGGGAAATATAAGAACTCAGAGGTGTATAAGTAATTAATTGTAAAGATACAGTGCCTTGCGAAGGTATTCGGCCCCCTTGAACCTTTCAACATTTCGCCACATTTCAGGCTTCAAACATAAAGATATAAAATGTTGATTTTTTTGTTATGAATCAACAACAAGTGGGACACAATCGTGAAGTGGAACGACATTTATTGGATAATTTACACTTTTTTAACAAATAAAAAACTGAAAAGTGGGGCGTGCAATATTATTCAGCCCCTTTACTTTCAGTGCAGCAAACTCACACCAGAAGTTCAGTGAGGATCTTTGAATGATCCAATGTTGTCCTAAATGACTGATGATGATAAATAGAATGCACCTGTGTGTAATCAAGTCTGCGTATAAATGCACCTGCTCTTTGATAGTCTCAGGGTTCTGTTTAAAGCGCAGAGAGAACCATGAAGACAAAGGAACACACCAGGCAGGTCCGAGATACTGTTGTGGAGAAGTTTAAAGCCGGATTTGGATACAAAAAGATTTCCCAAGCTTTAAACATCTCAAGGAGCACTGTGCAAGCAATTATATTGAAATGGAAGGAGTATCAGACCACTGCAAATCTACCAAGACCCGGCCGTCCCTCCAAACTTTCATCTCAAACAAGGAGAAGACTGATGAGAGATGTAGCCAAGAGGCCCATGATCACTCTGGATGAACTGCAGATAACTACAGCTGAGGTGGGAGAGTCTGTCCATAGGACAACAATCAGTCGTGCACTGCACAAATCTGGCCTTTATGGAAGAGTGGCAAGAAGAAAGCCATTTCTCAAAGATATCCATAAAAAGTCTTGTTTAAAGTTTGCCAAAAGCCACCTGGGAGACACACCAAACATGTGGAAGAAGGTGCTCTGGTCAGATGAAACCAAAATCGAAATTTTTGCCACAATGCAAAACGATATGTTTGGCGTAAAAGCAACACAGCTCATCACCCTGAACACACCATCCCCACTGTCAAACACGGTGCTGGCAGCATCATGCTTTGGGCCTGCTTTTCTTCAGCAGGGACAGGGAAGATGGCTAAAATTGATGGGAAGATGGATGGAGCCAAATACAGGACCATTCTGGAAGAAAACCTGTTGGAGTCTGCAAAAGACCTGAGACTGGGACGGAGATTTATCTTCCAACAGGGCAATGATCCAAAACATAAAGCCAAATCTACAATGGAATGGTTCACAACTGGACCTATCCAGGTGGTAGAATGGCCAAGTCAAAGTCCAGACCTGAATCCAATCGAGAATCTGTGGAAAGAGCTGAAGACTGCTGTTCACAAACGCTCTCCATCCAACCTCACTGAGCTCGAGCTGTTTTGCAAGGAAGAATGGAGTCAGTGCAAAACTGATAGAGACATACGCCAAGCGACTTGCAGCTGTAATTGCAGCAAAAGGTGGCGCTACAAAGTATTAGCGCAAGGGGGCCGAATAATATTGCATGCCCCACTTTTCAGTTTTTTATTTGTTAAAAAAGTTTAAATTATCCAATATATTTTTTTCCACTTCACGATTGTGTCCCACTTGTTGTTGATTCTTGACAATTTTTTTTTAATTTGTATATCTTTATGTTTGAAACCTGAAATGTGGCGAAATGTTGAAAAGGTTCAAGGGGGCCGAATACTTTCGCAAGGCACTGTAATTAAATATTGTTTATTTGAACTCTTGAATCTTGGTCTTCATTCTGGTCAAATTCTGAATCACGTCCTTTGAAAATAAGAAGGTGTTCAACCGTATTCCCTGGGGTGTCCTTATGGGGTGTTCTCCAAGAGTACAGGGTGCGGGGTCTTCTACCCTGTATGACCGGAGCCAGAGCAGCGTTCGCATCGCTGGCAGCAAGTCAGATCTGTTTCCAGTGCATGTTGGCCTGCGCAAAGGCTCCCCTTTGTCACCAGTTCTGTTCACTGTCTTTATCGAAAGAATTTATACGCACAGCCAGGGGCTGGAGGGGTCCTGTTCGGAGACCACATGATTTCATCTTTGCTTTTTGCGGACAATGTTGTTCTGTTGGCTCCAACCAATCAGAACCTGCAACATGCCAAGGGGCGGTTTGCAGCCACTCGGCTGCAAACCGCCGTGTAGCGGCTGGGATGAGAATCAGCACCTCCAAATCTGAGGCCATGGTGCTCAACCAGAAAAAGGTACCTTGCTCTCTCCAAGTGGTTGAGAGGTCCAAGTGGATGAGCTCAAGTATCTCGAGATCTTGTTCACAAGTGAGGGAAGGATGGAGCGTGAGATTGAAAGGCGGACCGGTGCAGTGTGTGTAGTGATACGGTCGCTGTATCGGAATGTTGTGGTAAAGAGTGAGCTGACCCAAAAGGCAAGGCTCTCGATTTACCAGTCAATCTTCGTTCCCTCCCCCACCTATGGTCATGAGCTTTGGGTAATGACCGAAAAGACAAGCGGTCAAAAGGAGCTTCCTTCGCAGAGTGGCTGTGCACTCCCTTAGAGATAGGGTGAGGAGCTCAGTCACACGTCGAGAGGAACTAGTTGAGGTGGCTCGGGCATCTGTTCCGGATGCCTCCTGGACGCCTCCCTGGGAGGTGTTCTGAGCACGTCCGAACAGGGAGGAGACCTCGGGGAAGACGAAGGACACACTGGAGGGACTATGTCTCCCAGATGGCCTGGGAGCGGCATGGGGCCCCCCGGATGAGCTGGAGGAAGTGTGTGTGCATAGGGAAGTCCGGGCGTCTCTGCTTAGAATTTTGCCCCCGCGAAATGGCAACTGATGAAGCCTCACTTCTGTCAGTGTACCCACGGCAGCAGTGACTACATTAGTAGTTTATTACCATTGTGAATGGAGTGAAAGAATATGAATAAGAAAGTACAGCATCTTTGTCCATAAAAGCGCGATATAAAACCAAAAAATTATTATTATTATTACTCAATATATTATTTCACATTCTACAAGATTAAATGACAAAGAAGAAGTGTGAAGTGGAGTGAGTGAAGTCTCATTATAATTTTTAATGTGTTTTTTTTGTGAAATAGCAGAATATATTTTCCAATGTTCCCACAGCTCCACACTTACCCGCACACATCATGCCTGGTTTGAAGCGGTCTTCATAAAACCGCTCACAGTCTGGGATCAGGGAGACGTTCGCCCACAGCAGGACCTTAGCAGCTTTACCCTCTGGAAACACACAAGAGACCGAACACAGACCATTATAAAACCAACTATAGGGAAGTTATGATGGCTCAAGGTAGCCTGGCCTTGGCCATCCTTAAACTCCGGTCAATTAATAATTTTCCTACATCTCGAAAAGATGTTGTGGCTCTACTCCCCACGGGCTCCATTAGTTGCAAAGGAGATGGCTAGGCTAAATGCTAAATGCCTCACGCACTCGGGTGCATTACATACGCTGCGGCAAACTCAAGTCCAATCGTTTCAATCTGCAAAAGGAGTTAACCCCTTCCACCTGTTAACGAACGTCAATTGAGAAAATCCAGACCTAATTACGAAATGAAGTGGGTACGGTGGTATGGTAAGACCAGGCCATGATGCATTGTGCTGTCTATTTCATCATGTTTATTATAGCCAGAAAAAATATGCAGTTACCAATTAATTAATTGGGTATTATTAATACCCAATTATTCTTTAATCTGTAGAGAGCATGATTGTTTTAAGGGATAGAGGGGACATGCCAAAATCAGGGAATCAATCAGGGAAAATGACAATCAAACAGAACATTGGCTTCAACATGTACAGTATCTTTTTAGTGTTTATATTAGACTTTACAAGTATACAAGTATTTATATAAAGACTACTACAATGAACTGCCAGCACCATCCACGCTCAACCCCATACACTGAATAAATACTTATCAACTAGTCCACTAGATGTCGGTGTTTCAAGCTAGTATGAGCTAGCTCCGAGGCTCCGACACATTCAAAACATCCATCCTACCATTCATTTTCTTCCCCTTAATCCATTTCTGGGTCGGGGGGTGGCAGTCAGAGCTGCATCCAGTACACATAGCACCAGCCCCTCACTGATTCTCCTGCAGGTGGTGAGTCCAGAGGAGCCTTAATTATTCAGCGGGGGCTTCAGGCAAAGTGGGGTTAAGTGTCTTGCCCAAGGACACAACGACAGCAGTCGTCAGTGGGAGTCTTGTGGTGGGCTCGAACCCACGACCTTCAGGTTTCTAGGCCAATGCTCTACCAACTGAGCCACTGTCGCACATTCAAAACAATCTGGCGAAAAAGCCTTGGTGTTGGTTACAGGGCTTCATAAGATAAGATTAGATCAACTTTATTCATCTCTCAATGGAAAAATGTACTGCCCATCACTAGCCTTTTTATGTATATGGTATTCCGAATAATGCACAATAATCTTTCTGACTACAAACATTTTGATAAATGCAATAACATCTTTGGCCATCTGGTGACAGTAGGACTATAAATGATGGTATAGCCCAAGTAATACACCCACTCATGTTTTCTGCATTACGCACAGGCAGCGCTGCATGCCAGGAAGAATCTGAATATCAAAAGACAGCAAGTTTCGCATTTATGCATTTGCTACAATGCAAGAACTATGTGGGATGCTGAAGAAATTGTTCGGGAACGTCCAAGATAATTACAGACAAGAGTGATGTACTCTTGTGCAATAAGCCTATTAAAAAGTGCGACTTTGCAAACAAGAGGAGGCGAACAACTGCCAAATAATGCCATATTCCGTCTTCAAAATGCACTGTGCTTATCAATACAGGACACCATTGCATTACTTTTAATGTTCGTAAATGACTGAATGTTCACAGTTCTGCTCTGTCAAGGACTAAATGAGTCAAGTATAAACTCTGAACAACGATATACAATTATAAATACAGTGAAACTCATTTACATTGTATACAACATAAGAATCAGAATCATTTTTATTGCCACGTAAGTAACAGGAAGTCACAGACTTGGAAATTGCTTTGGCTCAGTGCAACAGTCAGAGAGAGATAATTAAAAAAAAGAATAAAAAACACTTCTAAGGAATAAATTTAAATATAAAAGAGTTACAGTTACTATTTACAATATACAAGTGCACATGGTGCACACAATGTAAGGTGACAGCAGTACAGTGAAGTAAAGTGACGTATGATGGGCAGTAAAGTGACTTTATAAAGGGCGGGGGGACAGGTTAAGAAGTGTTCAAGAGTCCAACAGCAGAGGGGAAGAAACTGTTCTTGTGGTGGGAGGTTCTAGTCCTGATGGACCGCAGTCTCCTGCCTGAGGGGAGTGGTTGGAATAGTCCATGCGCAGGGTGAGAGGGATCGGCTGTGATACGACCAGCCTGGCCTCGAGCTCGGGCGACGTACAGGTCCTGCAGCAATGGAAGGCTGTGGCCAATCACTTCCTCTGCAGAGCGCACAATGCGCTGTAGTCTCTGTTTGTCCCTGACTGTGGCTCCAGCGAACCACACGGTGATGGAGGAGGTGAGAATGGACTCGATGATGGCCGTGTAGAACTGCACCAACATCTGTGCAGGCCTTCTTGATGAGGGAGCTGATGGTCGGCTTCCACTTGAGGTCCTGGGTGATGGTGGTGCCCAGGAAACGATAGGACTCCACAGAGGATGATGGGGGAGTCCATCACGGAGGGTGGGGACGGGGGGACAGTGCTCTTCCCGAAGTCCACAATCATCTCCACTGTCTTCTGGGCATTCAGCTCCAGGTTATTACCCCTGCACCAGGACACCAGCCTCATGTCCATTTCCCTCCTGTAGGCGGACTCATCGTGGTTGGAGATAAGTCCGATGAGGGTAGTGTCGTCCGCGAACTTGATCAGCTTCACGGAGTCGTGGCTGGAAGTGCAGTGGTTGGTGTACAGGGAGAAGAGCAGGGGAGAAAGAACACAGCCCTGTGGGGCTCCTGTATTTATAATCCGAGAGTCCAAGACATTCTTCCCCAGACGCACTCGCTGCTTCCTGTCTGTCAGGAAGTCAGTGATCCACCTGCAGGTGGAATCGGGCACGTTGAGCTGGGAGAGCTTGTCCTGGAGCAGGGATGGCAGGATGGTGTTGAAGGCAGAGCTGAAGTCCACAAACAGGACCCTGGCGTAGGTCCCCGGGGAGTCCAGGTGCTGTAGGATGTGGCGGAGGGCCAGGTTAATGGCGTCGTCTGCAGATCTGTTGGCTCTGTAGGCGAACTGCAGGGGATCCAGGAGGGGGGAGGTGAAGGACTTGAGATGGGAGAGGACCAGGCGTTCAAATGACTTCATGACAACAGACGTAAGTGCTACAGGTCTGTAGTCATTGAGTCCTGTGATCCTGGGCTTCTTCGGGACGGGGACAATGATGGAGGATTTGAAGAAGGCCGGGACATGGCAGGACTGCAGAGAGGTGTTGAAAATGTCAGTGAACACAGGAGTAAGCTCACAGCGCAGTGTCTCAGAGTGGCCGGAGACACGTGGTCCGGGCCAGGAGCTTCGCGGGGGTGCAGCCTCAAGAAGAGTTGTTTGATATCTTTATCTTTATCTTTGGAGGCTGATGGGTGGGTCGTTAGAGTAGTGGGGGGTGGGGGAGGTGTCAGGGGCAGCATCAAAGTGTCTGAAAAAAAGTTCAGTTTGTCAGCTAGCTTGTGGTCGTCAGCACAGGGGGGGGCTTTGGGCTTGTAGTTGGTGATCTCCCGTAGGCCCCTACAGACAGAAGCAGTATCATTGTTACCCAACTGCTCCTGTAGTCGTTCTCTGTGCCGGGACTTGGCTGCTTTCAGTTCGTCCCTGAACTGATATTTACAGCAGCTGCTTTGTAGCCGCTGCGGTCCCCCTCCCTGAAAGTAAGTAAGTAAGTAAGTAATCTTTATTTATATACCGCCTTTTCACTGCAGATCTGAGTCTCAAAGCGGTTTACAATTGTTAATTTTGGGCATTTGTCTCTCACTCCACACAGAGATGGGAGCGGGGTCGCCAGTACAGGAGGCGCATGCTAGAACTATTAGACATATTTTTAGTGGTAGGGGAAACCGGAATACCCGGAGGAAACCTACGCAGACACAGGGAGAACATGCAAACTCCACTCAGAAAGGCCCTGGTCCGACCGGGATTCGAACCCAGGACCTTCTTGCTGAGAGGCAAGAGTGCTATCCACTCTGCCACCGTGACGCCCGCGGTGGCAGAGTGGATAGCAAAGGAGTCTGAAAGCAGACTCCTTTACTTTCCTGAGCTGCCAGAGTTTAGCAGTGAACCAGGGTTTGTCGGATGTTCATAAGTTCCTCACGGGTGTAGGAACAGCCAGATGCACAGTTAAAAAGTAAAAACAAAAGCAAAAGAGAGCAGCAAAGCGCCATCTTGTTATTAGACTCTCCTCTCTACTCTCTACTCTCTACTCTCATCTTGTTATTAGACTCTCCTCTTCAATACCAGCAGTGCTGGAGGTAATTCAAACAATCAATATTATGTCTGGATACAAAGTGAGTGAAACAAAATCATCATTATTATTACTGAATGAAAAGGAAAATAATAATAATAATGCATCGGTTTTATATAGCGCTTTTTTGGACACTCAAAGACGCTTTACTTGTCATTATTCTTTCACTCCATACACGGTGGTGATAAACTACTACTGTAGCCACAGCTGCCCTGGGGCACACTGACAGAAGGAAGGCAACCAGTATGTGCCGTCGGCCATCGGCCTCCGACCACCAACCATTCACACCAGACTCATTCTAGGCAATGGGGGTAAAGTGTCTTGCCTAAGGACACAAAGACAGTTTGGCAATTTACAGCCGCAGCCCCCCGCTGTGGCTGGTGTTCCCAGAGGTTAAGTGTCTTGCCAAGGACACAATGACAGTAGGAGTTGATGGTGAAAGTCAGGCTCGAACCCACGACCCTCTGGCTCAAAGGCCAATGCTCTACCAACTGAGCTAATGTCACCACTAATCTGAAGCAAAGAACTAATCCAACCTCACAACTATCTCACTTTAAATTTAAAACAGTGGATCAATTCCAATATTTAGGAATTCAAATCTCTACTAACTTGAATCAAGTGGTTAAAATTAACTATGACAATTTAAAGGAAAAATTAAGAGCTCTATTGAGCGATGGATGTCATTACCCATCCCATATTGGGATGAATAAATATCTTAAAAATGAATATCTTGCCAAAACTGCTGTACTTTTTTCCCAATGTTTCCCTTCCTCCAGACT